TTTGCATCATTCACCAGACCACTGCATCTTTCCTAAGGCTCAAAGTCATTGCAATTCAGCTATTGAAATTTTATTATTTCATCTTCTGCCAGACAGAATTATTTGCGGCGACGTCGGTCAAAATGCAATTGAAGAGGTAGATATCATCGTTAAGGGTGGAAATTATGGATGGAATGCTTTTGAAGCAGATGCATGCTACGATGAAAAAACATGTAAAGACCAAGTAATGATCGGTGAGAATTGACTGCAGAATTGAAACAAGTTTTGTGACTGCTTGCTGTTTTTTTCTTACGCCATAACTTATCAGAATACGCGTTCGACGTTATCAATTATTCCCGGTTATATTTGCTGGAGCATTTTGATATTTTAACGTCTATTGTTCCTATGTTTAAAACTGCTAAATTTATTGTATGCTGTAAATAAGATTTAACAACGCCCTTATACTGACAATAGCTATCAAATTGAATGCCCAGTCTGAAAACTATTAGGTTGACGACTAGTCATTTCTTCTACTGTATTTAGAATCCCATATTCCACCGATTTACTCCTACAATACATCAATTGGAAAATCAATCACGGGAGGTTATGTATACGAAGGATGTCGGAATCCTGGACTCAAAGACAAATACATACTTGGAGATTTCATGTCGGGGTAAAATATATGGTCAGACTGCAATAAATTTGAGTGAATCAGACTCAGACTATTAAACATGATATTTCACGAGGAAGATTTTATCTCACACGAGTCATTATCTACTAAGCTACGATGGAGATTGTACATATAGCGTGACGCTTTCTAACTGGTAAGGAATTCACTCCCAGGAAGGAATTTGCTGTACTATCGCTGATATTCGTTAGTTCTTTATTATGCCATACTATGATATTTATGAACGCATTATAAATTCCCTGGATTGCGAAAAAGGGGAATATGATAACAAACGTTAGAGCCACTGACATATCGCTTTGATATAGATCCGATTACTGCTCGTTTACCCTCGTTGTAAAATATTGCCATAATTTGTATTCTGTTTTAAATTTGCTGTTCATATTTGTTGTAGGCGAATGATTATTCTGAAAGAAATAAATTGGGAAAATGGAGACCCTAGAATGTTGTATGTCGAAAAGATATGCCGACAACAGGGGAAGGCACACAAGTATCCTCGCCATATCCAGACCTTTGGCGAAGATGAATCTGGTAGGCATTTCATTTAAATTTAAACTTTCGATATGCTCTTTTTACATTATATCTAATTTTATCTACCATATATGCATGCTGGACACACGTATAATATCTCTACATTAGGACATCTTCTTTCACACACACATCTGATCAATATAAATCTATAAAATTTAATCAACGCATGGAAACGTCAAATAAAATTGCACGAATTCTATATATTAATCGATACTGTGGATACTCATTTTACAGGAATCTATAACCTTTGATTACAGGGGGAAATTTACTTTGCTGCGACAATGAATCCGAACCGCCCCGGGCATCGGGGTGGAAGGGTTTATAGACTGTCACATGCCTACAAAACCAAAAACGCTGACGATTGCAAATCTACGGGAACTAGCCCAGTCTTACTATGGCAGGGAAGCAGCCTACAGGAATATCAACCGACACCAGGTAGTTTGGAAGTTATGTTGCACACTGCTACTATACTACGCACTACAAAAATTTCCGATTTTAAAAATTATTGTGCCTTGCAGATAGAGAGGTAGAGACGCGATTGGTTGGAGCTGGACAGGGACGAATTGCCACAAAAGGACGAGTAGAAATCAGACCTCGCGGTAAGAAATGGAGCACCATATGTGGCAACAACTGGAATTTAAACAACGCTCACGTGATTTGTCGCATGTCTGGGTTTTTGAAGGCACGGGAATTTTCTTTCGCCGAGTTTGGTGTGGGTCGGGGTATGGTTAGGTTCGAACATCTAAATTGCAAAGGGGATGAAGAGCACATTGACGAATGTGAACATAGTGGGTGGAAAGCTGCTTCTTGTTCACATGAAGATGATGCCTCTGTATGGTGCGAAAGCTTTATATTCACTGAGGAGCCTCAGGCCAATGACTAACATGAGTCTTGACTCTGGTAACAATCGGAGTGATATATATATGTAATTTACATTGTAAATAATTGAACCATTTTAGAAATTTTACCTCGTTTGAGATAATGTAATAAAGCCAGCTGCCATTAGGAACACAGTGTAGCAGAAATTTGTCCTACCTTTTCATTTGTCTTATCTTTTCTAGATGTACGTTGTTGCTAACATACTAGTCGTGGCCCTGAGGAAGGGTACAAATGTACGCGAATTTGCTGATTAAAATGCCATGAGTATAAATAACATGCTGGTAAATACGTAAATGGGTACAAAGTCATTGGAGCAAAATAAAACTAATTAGCTGCCATTGCAAAGAAACGTAAAACAGTAATCTTCACTTGTTAAAACACTCAGAATTATCTTCTTCATAAAACCATTGACTTAAATGATCTACTGTTCTTGGTGATACACTGTTTTGTGAACATAGGACGTTTGGGGTTTGATGGATCGTATTTTGGATCTGTACATGTCATCAATATTGATACCGTGCAGACTCGACATATTGACAAAATCCCCTTGCTCTGTTATATTGTGGCATTCTCACTTGGGCGCCATGTTCACCACCTTGAATTGAGAGAGGGAGAAAATTAAATTTAAACCGGGGAGTTAGTTGGGGATAAAAATATAGGGAGGGCGAGTATTTTCGAATTGAAGTTATCAAATGCATAGTTTTCCGGATTTCATTAACCAATTAGTATAATCCTAATGAATTCCAGAAATGGATATTATACATATATATCGGAAGGGTTACATGTGATAATTAATATTCACTCAATGTTCACTAACAATCCGGATCTGAATGTTATTTCAACGATGCCTGAATATACCATACTGAGATTAAGAAATGTTGTATGAACCGCAATCTAATACACAGTTAATAATCCCCTGTTTCATCTGCAAATTGCATTTACCTACGAAAGTAAAATTTTGCATATTGATTAATGACAACCGTACCTTAGGTATTCCATATATGCTGTGTCGTTTTGGTCTAAATAGTTCAGGTATGCAATTAGCTCTTCTGAAGAATTGAAGTCTTTCCGCAAAGATAAAAGAACCGAGCGGTGCAACTGCCGCATAGGTCTTCTTTTTTTGCACCCCACACTACGGGTACAGTTTAATGAGTTGATAGCATATTAAAAAACTTTTCCGTGATATAGTCTTTACAGTGGTATGAATTTCGTACGAAAATAAAACTTGTATTTACGTACTTCTTCCCAAAGCTTTGACCCTTTGTAAAATTTCCCCCCTTTGAAACACGCACCATAGCCGTCCACACGAGAAGTTCAGTTTCATTATATCAATTGAGCAGTTTAATCGCCTTCTGGCTCCTGGAGTATATCCACAATTCGATACTATTGCAATTCCAAAATTTAGTTTTCAAAGCAAGTAACTGATCAAATGTTAGTTATTTTCTTGCAGTGTATCACTGATTAAACGTTTTCCTTCATAACTCCATAGAAGTCCGAATCTCTTCTGCAACAAGATTTCATATTTTCAATCTCTTAATTTAAAAGCATTAACATGTTCGTCACAAAACGTTATATTAGGTTTGTGAAAGATTATTAGCAACAAACAAACCTTTACTTAAAAATGTATGTCATAGTTTCAACTTCTACTTAGGCTGGCTACCGGCTTGCATCAGTCATATGGAAATGATTTTAACGTTGATGACTGATTACACTCTAGCTATTGTACAACATTTTAGCATTTATATACGTAGATCGACAATTATTACATTAAAAGACAAAACGATGTGTTAAACAAATGTTTGCATCCAATTTTACCTGTATGTGAAAGTTGCATTAAAAGGAAGAGATTCTTCAAACTGCAAGGAATGTCCTCTTACATTTCGTAATGTAGCTGTTGACTCAAAGTCCCAGTAAATATATAAATGTTTAGTATTCCTGAATAACAAAAACAGTCTTTCACTTAATAAAAAGATGAAGGATTACAAGAGTCTGATCTCATCAGACCTTTTGTTGCAATATCGACCACCCATTAATGGGTCAAACTGTAACCCAGTCATACAAATTGCACGTTCGAGACTGTGTGAGTGATTTTCGCACCTATTATGTTTCATAATGCACCAGTACCATGATTTGTAAAGTTAATTTACCAAACTGATCTTCCCGTTTCAAACACATTTTTTTTTCAATAGACAGACAGAATAAAGAATTTATTCATAAATGGAGAAATTCAATAAATCAAACCTTGTAGGTGGCATGTTCTTAGATGATATCGCATCAAAGTGAAATAGTAAAGCTCCTGTATTTTCGTCTACAATCTGTTATTTTATAAGATTACAATCACAATATTAAATTATGAACAAATACAGTTGAAGCTGCAATAGACTTCCTCGAAAAAACTAAGGCAGTCAATTAATGTAAATCTACGACGGATAAGGTAATGACAAAAGACAGATGGAATTATGAAAATTTAAACTGAAGGAAAGGCAGAAACTATAGCTATAACATTTCAAAAGTGCTATTAGAGTAAAACAACAAAACAAAACTGAGTATCATAAATCTTTTCAGTACCTTGGTGAGTTTCACATGTAATGTGAATGTGTTTTTAAAGGCAAAAGAGCAATGCAATTCAGTATCGCTATTCTCACAAATGAACTATACATGCTTTCAAACCGATGATAATACTATGCGTGTATATTCTCTTACTTGAGTATAGACTATAGAGGGTACATATGGAATGATATGAAAATATTAATATCATAATAAAAAAGTCAGCTGTCAGAATATCGACACCGTGTGATAAAAGGTCTCTAACCTACAGTTATTATAGGAAATATCGAAAAACTAACGATCTACCTTAGCTCTGTCATATGTCACTTCACATTTTCCGCATTTCTCTTCATCAACCGAATAAGAAGTTTTAACTCCGAACATTGGAACCCATATTAATATTACCTGCAATGAATAAGCTTCGAATTGGTATAACCACGCTAGACCAAAGCATGTGGAAACTAATAAATCAGAGTATATCAGAGGGTTTTACGAGGATTGTAGTCAGGGATTTCCTCGATCTGAAACCCAAAATAAGGACGGCTGGAAAAATGTCCGCATTGTGAGCAGAAATAGCTGGCTTTCCTATGGCCTTCATGTTAATGTCACAATCACAGACGTCACAGTGTGCGAAGCACTCACCCTTCAACAAGCTTCGTTTAACTTCGGATTCATTCCCTTACTCATCACGAAAAACGTTCTTACATTTGCTCATTTTTGAATTTAGTCGAAAATAACCACCACCACGACATAACCTAAGGATCGCCACACTAACAATGCTTCATGCCCCTCTGTGCCTTGCTACTTTGTGTTCAAAATTAGATTGTGTTGCTTTTATGATGCGACAATAAAGCTTTGGCGATAAGACAAACAACACAAAGCTTCCTTTATAAAATAAGGACACGCAAGCAAAAAATAAGGACGCAAGCTAAAAATAAGTCAAAAATGAAGACAAATCTTAAACTAAGGACGGTATGGAATTTCTCATTGTAGTATTATATACAGGTTCTTAAAAAACTGTATCTTAGGCCCATACCTTTTTGTTCTTGGCGGTTTTCAATCTTCGGCTAAGTTCTGACCGTAAATCATATGAAGCCGTTTCCGTAGAGGCTTTAGTTATTTCATTGTATATTTTGCTGAATATGGCCAATGGTGGCTGACTAATATGGTTTAACGGAAACGACAAGTTTTTCGATCGATAGTCTACGTTAAGGCTGGACTTAGTGTCTGCTTCGAATTCTGTAGCATTTTTTCCAATTAGTCTTTCTTTATATGAGTCATAATTCATCCATTTCTTGTGATCATCACTCGTTGAAAACGAAGTTGAAGAGTACATACTTTCCCACCTCTTAACCATACTGATTTCTAATAGTGTTACAAACACCGCTAGACAAGTAATCACTTTACATTTTGTAGAAGTCACTCTGTTATTATCTTCGTAAATCATTTTGCCGGAAAAGCGATGTCCCCTATATTTGGATGAGAATGAATTGAAAACACAGTAAATCGTTAATAATAAGGATTATTGCTAGGCAATATTTTTTGTCCCAAAAAAGCAAAGCGATAAAACATAGGTTACATCTCCCATTGAAATTATAACCAGTGAGTGTAACATATTCGAATACACCTAACTGACATAACAAATTTCTACATTAACTCGACTATATGCTACATAAACGGCCTTACATTTGTGCCACGGTGCTTCGTACTGAAGATTTGAAACGGTCGGATGCGTTATTATACTCATCCGTTGTAAGTATAATAGAAGGGGAATCTCACATTTCAGCGACGCATATACAACTGAACAATAGGGAGACATAGAATAAGAGATCAACATGGGTTGTGACGTAACCGCCTTCCGCGTGTTTATGCACGGTTCGATGGTCAGTATTACGCTCGCCATCGTATCTCTTATTAATCTGCGCCAGTTTGCAGGTTCGAGTCACGCGGGCTATAATTATGTGCGAGGGATTTGCTGGATCCCTCGCCGTCTACGGTATGGATATTTCGTACAAATCCCCCGCCACTAATGCAAAAATGTGAGATTTGAGTAAAACACCCCCACCAAGTTTCAAAATAACAATTTAATAATTATCTAGTTAAGGGTTAAGAATGATTTGAAAATTTGAATTTCCATCGCAATCTGCATTTCTGGCCTTCACCCTAACTGGATAAATATTATTTATTTTTTTATTTCAGAGCGCTTGGGGGGGGGGGTGTTTTATTTTGCTTTGTAAAATAGATCCTAAAACATTTCAGTTAACCGCTGGCTGTTTACGGGTTCCTGCGCCATCAACTCCGTGTATCTGAAATTAATAATTGGTTAACTATTGCCATGTCCGACAAGGGCACTAATCGGACAAGATGTGGTAGTTGGCCATATGATCAAGTCGGCGTTTCGGTTTTCCTCTCCTCCCCGGGATAAATATGATGATCCTTATCCTGTATCTACTATTGTATAGAGAAAAACTGCTGACGCGCGTGAACATATAAATTTTCATGATAGACAAAAGCACGAAATTGAATGAACGTCAACTAGTCGCTTGCTTGGTACAATTTTAGAATAACTATATTACGCTATACTCTTCAAAGAATATTCAGTGTTGCAAGCAAAATTTGAACGCTAATATATTCAAATATATATGCAAGTGGGTGGCACATAAGACATTTTGAAGTAAATACTCACTTATCCAAGACGACTCGAATCCGTTTTATGAATATTTAACTAGTATTTTTTTCGTTAGCGAGAAAGCGTAGGCGTAGCCAGAATATTTTGCGCCCGGGGCAAACTATAAAATTGGCGTCCCGACCTCCACGTTTAATCATATTTTATTTTACATTTATTTGTATAAGTAAAAACAATTCAAATTTTAATGGAACATGTTATATAAAGAAGAAGCAACACTATACATAATATAGCATATGAGCATAGCATAATTTTTGCAAGCCCCATTTTGGCGCCCGGGGGCATATGTACCCCATTGCCTCCAATTTAATTCGATCGTGCAACTGTACAATATACGACCATATGCTTATTTGTCCTCTGAAGAAGTCATTTGGGATTTATTCCGCGAAGTACGTTTTATAGCAATTTCAAAACTAATTTTGCATACCGATGAACCTTCAAAATCAACCCAAAATGTCAAAAACACAAAACATAATTGAACGAATGTAATTATGACAAAATACTGCAATTCAAAAGCAGACAATTCCATTTAACGATAAATTTGTTGCTATTGCTATCAAATTTCTCTAAATTATACTGTCAAATTAGGGAACGTCTGAGCTTCTAATTCAGTTTTAATTTTAACAAGGCATTGTGGCGCATCGTGCTAAGCGTTAGGATTACGCTTACCACCGTAACTCTGATTACCCTGCGTGGGTTTGTGGGTTCGAATACCGTGGGGGATGAATATGAGCAAGGGGATTACCGGACTCCTCGTCGCCACATGGTTGTTCACGTAAACACTGGTTAGTTACGGCTTCCTCTGCCACCAAGTCTATGAATTTGAAACAAATATCATGCTAACTAATCCTATACCCAACTGGTAACCGGACGAGAGGCCATATCATTTAGCCGTCTTATCGACTTTTCTATTTGCTCTCGAACTCCTCCGTAATGATGTTTGCCGTTATGACGTCATAGACTCAAAAAAACATCCAGCCGTTCAGAACCTGAAATGAGCGTAGGACCACTGACCAAGTTGGGTTTACGCATCAATAGGAAATAAAACTTACATAAAAATTACATTGTGCAATTGAGATATAATATTGGAATAGATTTGGCAGACGGCGGGAAGGATTTTGCGTCGGTTGAGAACCATACTGTTTTGTAGTACTGGGAATAGGGCACGCAGATTAGGAACCATAGAGTCATATACAAGAATTGTGGTTTCATGGTGGTTTAAAATCGTAGTGGTCCGATAACCACCAGATTTGTTAGATTTATAGGCATCATGGTTCGGACATAGTTTTGCAAAAGCGCAGTATTATTTCGATCAGAAACTTTTCGAATCTGAAAAAAAATGTATAAGAGAGATGAAATAGGCTTTTTTAGAACTGACCAAATAGGGGATTGGCAACGGACATTTTTGTTACTGTGCATTAAAAGTATCCTAATATTAGCCTCGCGGATGTTTTACTCTAAGTAAATAGAGTTTGAAAGAGAATGTTTGACAATGCTATGTTTGTTTTATTGGTTGGTGACAGCCTATGTTTTCTTTGTGTTAAGAGTATTATCACTAACTAACTATTTCATTTGGATGCGTGTTATTCGGGTAAACGACACATATTCGCCAGATAGCAATAACGCCAGAATACTCTGTGGAATTGTAATTCAATTTCAATAGCGATCAACTTACCATTCGCAGTGTTATAAAACAGGGGTGTGCAACCTGGTGACCGTACATTTGAACCCATGTGTATATCCACGAGTTCAATCTATATGCGGGTGCTAAACCCATGGGTTAGGGTTAGTATGAGTTCAACTATCCGTAAAACAAAAAAAATTCCATAGGTGCAATAGCATACAGGTGCAATTGTCATGGGTTCAAATGTACGTGGGTTCAAATGTAATGAAACCGGTCAACCTATATTGCAGGAGGGCCAGGTACAAATAACTGGATGAAGCTGCGGACCGCACCTTTATTTAAGATAGCCTTCATAGTAGTTGCAGGCACAAAAAATTGTTTCTTTTTGTTCTTGATCTTACGGCATTGTTAAGAGTCCTTGCAGAAATAGTTAGTTGAAACGCATACATTTTCAAAGAAAGGAAATAAGTCCCACTAAGGTTATTTTGTGCTGCGAAGAGCACGTGTTAATGAAAAACACAACAACAGTGATGAAGAAAAATATGCAATTCAAGAGTCCTGCTGCACACTAACACAAATATAGTTCTGTAACGTTTCGTCTGACCAAAATCAGACTTCCTCAGACAAGCAGTTTACAACAATGACAATTGAAATAGATTTGTGTTAGTGTGCAGCAGGACTCTTGAATTGCATATTATGGTATTTTATTCCTGCTACAACATGCTTGCATTACATGCATACGGATCCACTAGCGCAAAGGCATAGAGAAAGGATTGGGAGTTAGTCTCGCGCAACCTCTACTGATAGTGATGAAGAAACAGCGAAAAATTTAATAATGATTAGTCTATTATGTAAACATAAACAAATGAAGGTAACAACCAGCAAGAAAATGTTTTACACACCTGAACTTTCAAATAGTCCAACTAAGAGATTTTCTTAGCTATTGAAAAGTTACTGACAGTTGTAACCATCAAGTTACAGATTTTTTTAGAGCTTGTTTGAACGAATTGTATCAGGAAGCTTATTTCATAGTTTCACACCCATGAATTAGAGAGTCAGCTTTGTGAACGACTGGAAGAAAGCGGGTTTATAAAAGTTTGTAATATTTAATACCTTGTATTTAGCGAATGACTATCTAAATAATTGAAGATATAAAGCGGAAAAGTACGCATGATGAATAATTTAAGCTATAGCAGATACTCGCAGTAATTGTATTGTACATATTATTCCCTAGCACATAAGCTTCTATCCCGGTGGAGTGGGAATGGAATTCGATAGCTTATTCATACCAGGCGCTCCTCGGTTGCTAAGGATAACGAAGTTCTTGCTACTGTTACTCAGATTAGTGTTTAACCGTGATATACGTCACCGATTGAGGACGAATATCGTGTAGTGGCAGAACCGATGCTATAGCGCATGATCCGCTTCGTTGCACTGTGTAAGCGTCCGTATGCCCGCCAGTGTGCATTGTATAACCTAATGAATGGATACGTGATTTAAATTGTTTCAATAATAGTACTGAGCGGTAATTATAAAAAAGACAGATGTATGTATTGTATAGCCTAATGAAGAGATAGTTTATAAACGTATATAATACTACTAGACGATAATTATGTAAAGACAGCTCACAGTCCCTACGTTTGCTGCCCGTCACATTTACATTTTTATGTGCGATCGATGCACATGACTTTCTTTCACTTACAGGATAAAACGTTAGCTTAATTGAAGGTCTCGACGAACAAAATGTTCCGCAAATTATAGCGGGCATGGAGTTGGATTTCACCGTGAGTTTACGTCGATTTAGGTTCGCTGTATTGTTGCTGATCGTATTTGTTTTAGTGTATATAGTTAACGTCCCCACTGAGGTAACTTTTTTTAAGCCTTCTCATTGGTACCGAGGACGTACCACTTTCATACCAAAACATCATAACGACTGGATAATGCATTTATTCGATAGTTCACGGGATGAATTGGAAATGAGGATATTGAACGCTACAGATATGAAGGTAAGGATCTCATTGGAGCGTAATATTCCTTGTGGTAAATTGGTCTTCGCAAAAGTATATATATGATTAACATTCTATTATCCAATCTCAATGTATGCTAATCTATACTAGGAGTGTAAGCGTGCGAACCCAGTCAGAATCGAAAGTAAAGTCATGGGGAATTTCTCATATATATATATATACCGTCGAGAACATCATATAATAGCTAATTATCATTCAAAGGCAACAACATCGTCATTGAACGCAAACAGTTTTTTATTTGGTGAACAAACATATCAAATCGACTTGGCTTGACGTTGTTAGGGTGTAGAACTTGTTACCCATCGATCTTTAGATCGGTAAGTATGTTGACAGGTATTTGTCTGTTAGATGCACGCCATATCTCACGAAGGCGCGGTTGAATGTGCTCCAAATTTTGCATGTGCATTTATCATATCTCGGACCAGAAGCCTATTGATTTTGGATGAATTTTATGTCGTATAATTAGCGAGTTAATAATTAATTAGTGATGGGACACGAGGTGTCACTATAGAGTCATGACTCGAAACCGCAGTTTCGATCGATAAGTCTTCGGTCTCCGACTGATATTCTCGTTTATATATTCATTCTGTGCACCAAAAAAATTTTGGCGTTGGCAGACGATTCTATATTTTCATCTGAGTTGTAGTTAACATTGTATCAATATTAGATCTTGTCATCCAATATGGTACGATATATATTTAGAAAATAAATATACATTTTAAGAAGCAGGAAGCTCTTCAGCTATACGTGTTTAACAACACGGTGACTATATGGCAACGACGTTCTGCGATCGGTAAAAAGAGAATGAATTCTCTTGTGCAGAGTGCAGACAGGACCTAGCCGATGAAATGAGCTCTTGTCAAGTAACTCCTCATTTGAAGAGACGTTTTGTGCCTTTATTTTAGTCAAAACTCTCTATTTTAGGCGTTGGCCATGTGACAACAGCGACGAACCGCAGAGCTGACTTACTGCCGCGCGATCGAGTTTTTTTTTTATCTGGGCACGCGGTCCCAACTTTTTTGACGGCCTGCCGCACGCTACAAGTAATAAATTTATCATATCATGAGTGTAGAAAAAAGACGCCCGTATTTCCTTACCCGCAACAACGTTAAAACACAGTGTCGGGTTTGTTTTCAAGTAATATCTGTCACCAAAGAATATGTTTTAAGCCACATTACAAAACCAAACACGAGAAAAGATACCGAAAATACCACGCTATTTCACGCATTTCTTAATTACTTTTGTTTAATTTTTCAATAGTGAATATATCACAATTCGCCATACAAACACAATAGAAATATGAAGCGTACTCCTATAAAAATAATATCACGGAAATACCTAATGAGCAAGTTACCTGTTGGGAAATATACTGGTGTCTTATAGGTAATTGGGAACTAAAGGGATTCAAAATTTGAGGAGCACGTTTCGTTTTGTATCGAATTCCCAGACAACAGGTTCCTTCATTTCAGAAACCATGCCGTAGCTTTAGTTCTATAATGGTACCGGTACGTCATATTTACTAATGTATGTCACCACATAAACTACATTAACATGACACGCTTTACAAAAATTGATACATAATTCTCGATTTCGAAAAAACAAATATAACGCCGTTCGTAAGCTCGGTGCACTTTATACATTTGCTGAAGTCTAGAGCCCAAAACATAAAACGCGTTTCGTTGAATATCAGGTCGAAAACGGATTGAGTGCGGAAACCCTGAATCCCACCACTGGTGATGGGAAATATTCGAAATGTTTATTCTTCAACTGTTGATATAGTTTTCCACATGTTTCACAACCATATTAACACATATTTGCAACGATTACCAATATATTTATTATTTCATTGCATGTATATTTCAGATAATACTGGTGTGGATTCCAATGTTTGGTATGAAGTTACCACGCAAAATCGACGCAAACAAGTGTGGTAATTGTGAAATAACATACGACAGAGAAAAGGTGAGCTTATCCGATCCAAAAATTGATAATTTTTTTTTCAGCAGGGCTAGATTCAAGACTAACATTCGTGTCGTGAATTAAGTCAAGCAACAAATAATTCGAGTCTCCAGTAAAGTCGAGTCCCAGTAAATCTCAAACCTCGAGACGAGTCACTGCATTTCCGAGTCCTAAGTTAAGTCGAGTCGTTGTCAAGTCGATTTCGGTTCGTTGTAGATTTCATAAACTAGAGTAGAATGGGTGAATATGAGTCGTATAGACACCTAGAACTCTAGTCTTGTCTTTATCCTAAAAATTTTCCTAAAACAGACTACGATTTTGTTACATAGTTCTCATCACACCTCTCCTTGCTTTATGCGGTTTTGCAAATTCGGATGTCATGGGGATAATCAACTATATGAGAAGCTGGTTGGACTTTTCGTCGTCATAGCGTTATCTATCCGCTTATCCATCACCATCAAGCCTATTCACCTGCGATAAATACCTGGCTATCACCATACACTACAACAAGGGTCACCAAACTACGGCCCGAGGGCCAGATGCGGCCCGTGGCGTCCTTTCATCTGGCCCGCGATAACACGAAAAAAAAAACATTTATTTCAAGGAATGTTTCCCCGAGCATCGACTTCTTTGTTCATTTCGTAACATTGGCCAGTCAGCAAAAAGTAACGTGACAATAGGATTTTTCGCATCCGCTCATACACTTTTGTCACTCAGACAGATTTTTAGTCGTGGTTGTAAACAATACACCGTTTTCGTGATTTTGAATGCTATTCGTTAGTTTTTGGTTATGTTTCGAAAATGTAAGTATGAATCAAGTCCGTACGTACAAAACGTACAGTCAGTCATCACGCGGACTAAAATACGTGTTCCCGTGGATGAAAATAATACAGCGAAATTTTGGACGAAATATCAAATTTGGAATTCATACAAAATTCAGAAATAAATAAAAGTAATAGTCTTCTGGAGAAAAATTCCATCATCAACCACTAAAAATGTCGATGCAATTGGTGGAGTAATCGAAGACAAAAGCGACTTTTTAATAACTATATCAAAGAATAAGCATAAGAACAACAACAAAAATACCAAAACGATCGTTATGTCCACTACGTATCCAAAAAACGTCGAACGTGCAGTTTGCGCTAATATATAGCAGGGGTGGCCAAGACGTCGATCGACCGGTCGACCGCCATGTCTCGAGCAGTCGATCGCGTCTGATGTTGAGTGAATTTTATTGAAATACCATCAAAAATTGCCTTGAACCAGATGAATGTTTTACAACAGGAAGATTACAGTACTTTACATGCGTAAAATACAATACTGTATACACATACAGTATTTGAGTATGGGCAAGACAAGCCCGATAGAGCATATTGTTACGTAACAAATGCAAGTTTTTCCGCTGCCAATGTTTAAAAGTGAAGTGCCGAATATCGCGTGTCTAGTCTAGACGCCGCATGCGGCTCTCAACCTTTCGTGCGGCTCTTCTTAATGGCTTAAAAATTAATTACTTTCAAAAAAAAATTTTAATTGAAAACTAATCATTGACTTGAAATTAAAATGCGGAAGTCTATTAGTTAGTCGAATGGATTCCTCCGTGTTTATTTGCCTAGCGTTGACTAATCTACAAGATGCAATAGTGACGCAACTGTAAGCATTTTCGCGGCCACTCCGACACTTTTCTCTTAGAAAGATTTTAAACATAGCTGTAAATTGTAATCATTATTGGCTTGCTTACGTGGATTTTAAGTTTTTGTCGCATTTCCGAATATTATGTATAAATCAAATAATTCAATGATTTTATTAATTTCTAGAGTATTTCAATTTTGTTCCAATAATCAAAAATAGTCCCGAAATATTTGGCGATCATCTCAAGCAGCTACTGCACCTTGCATCCTCCACGATTACGACCCGCTTTGACAAACTTATTAGAAATCAAAGCCAAATTAAATGGCTATTAGTCTGGTTTGGGCAAAATTGAATCTTTTTTAGAATTTGGAAATTAATGGAAACATTGAAAAGTCGGCAATAAAGCGTTTTTTTTACTGGTTAAGGGTTAATTTCATCATAATCGCTGATTGTCTTCGTCACCGCGATCCTTTCGGCGGCGATATCTTAAAGTTCCCATTCTCTATTTCTTGTACTTTCTCGTTTTTTTTGCAAGAAAAGGGGTCGCCGGATATCGAAGTTTCATTTTTTCAGTATACCCTTGCGTTCACATCAGCGACAGCTGTTGAAGACATTAAGGGCTGATTGCAAAACCAAATTAATTTTATTCTGAGTTTTATCCTCTGCCTTGGATTTGATCTTCCTTATCACCGCTTGTAAATTAACCGTGTCTGTTTAAAGTGAACAGTAATCGAGATGCAGATATTTATCAAAATGATAATTGAGTTTCTCATGCTTTTCTATAGTTAGTGTTCGTGTTATTTTAGTATTAGATAGATAAACCTAGCGAACTTACGATTGCATGAATCCTGAATGTTGATTTAAAATAGCGATTAAATAAATTGGCAATAAAGGCATTTCTAGTCCTTTGTGCCTAGTAAAGGGTCATACGCTAATTATACCTAATTCCTTCAAGTTTTAACATTTTTTTCAACAAAACAACACCCCGATGATTATTATAGCTAAAATACTTACTGAGTAATGCTCAATTTTCTTTACGGAATTTGCAAATTCAGCACTTCACTTAATTTTTGATTATGTGATGCCTTGATGCTTAGTTATTACTGCCCAAATGCTTCAAAATTTAACAATTGTAATCATTTTCAATGATAATAGACGAATCAGTGTACATTGTTACAACGAAATTTTCGATTGATTTTACGTTCTACTCTTGGCTCAACGGCCATGCATGGTCGAGTAAAATGTTTACATATTCGAAACATTACTTGGCTAAGGATGGAAGGGATCGCTAAAGAGCTAATACAAAGTGCTATGAAGGGAGTAGGACGTGACATTTCTTATCTGGTTACAACTCAATGAATGTTTTTCATACAAGTAACTCATACCAACTTTTGCAAAAACTTTTGGTCATTTTTAAATCCATGCTATTTATATAACTAGAGTTTTCTAACGACCTAAAATCGCCTTTTTCACAATGAAACGCCGAAAAGTCATTTTAACATTTAATTTTAATCAGCTTTATGTTCGGTAATGCAAGAAATGGCTAATGACATGTCACCAAGCATGCGGAGTTTAAAATCTGGGAAATTTATTTTAAATACCTATTCTGGTTTGACGTTTCTAAATTTGCATAACGGTCGGTACATTTTTTTACAAAATATGGAATTGAAACGATACGTGCAAAGATGAGCATATAACACCATAACGCAAAGACAACGACTTTTCAAATTTGTCTTTTTTTGCGATAGCGAGCGCCGTTGGCAAATCTCGCACAATTCATGATTGAGTTGGAGGCGCACGAGTTCGGTGTCCAAGCAGAGCGGCGCAGGTCACGTGGTACCGGATATTCGAATACATAGTAAAATGCAATTCAAATATTTTATGGTACGAATATTTTGCCCAGCCTTAGTTGTTACGTGTGTTGTTGTTACGATGACTTGGTATTTTAAATATGCGTTTAAGGTTTGTTGCAATTTTACCTTGCGTTGTTTGTGTGCGGCTCTTCATAACTTTGAGGTTTGAAATGCGGCTCTGGGAATAAAAAAGTTTGAGAACCACTGCTCTAGAGTCTAAACTGACAAACGATGACAATCCTATAAAAACTTCCGCAGTATGCGGAGTAGTATGATAAATTTTATTCGCAATGATAACAGTGGCATCAAAATGCTTAATTTGTTCTAATTCTAAGCAAGCGAGGAATCGCGTTTGGAGGAAATTGTAAATTAGATACTGAAGTTTGAGCAGTCATGTAACATTCATAGTTTGAGAATATTTATTTTTCGCTGTTTGGATAATACATGAATACTTGGCACGATTTCTCGAAGAATTCAACATTTACGACTAAAAATTAGACACGCCCTTTATCTGAATTGTATGATTTAAATAGATTCTAAATAAATAATGAAACATTTACTCCGGGTAAAATTAAATAATCAAATTATCAACTTAACTAGAACATAAAAAATACAAATTAATATGTATTCACAAGCTATCTTAGTTGCAGAGGTGGATTTTTTTCTATGTGTGTGTGCAGTTGTCTCATTATCTGAATATTCAGTGCCCGTTCGTTTACTGTAGGACCTTATTACCGGTCAGTTGATCACGATCTATTTTGAAGATTTTAGTCGCAAGCAGGTTGGCCAGCCCTGATATATAGTACTGTAATCTCTCGCGTACTTTTACTATTTTACAAGTCGCATTACCTTTTGTACTGCTTACATGCGGATATTCATGACAGCAATGTTTTGCTAACAGCTAACCTCAGGATATTTGTCTAGAAATCTTGTATATATTCGGTTTCTCGATCTATATTCTGCGATATTGAATTTAATATTCAAGACTGTAGAATTTATTATTTGGTTTCTGCGAGACTAACTACTTATCCTTCTTCAATTCTTTTGTGCCGGCGGATCTGTATGCATATATTGCAAGGATGCTGCTAATTGATTCAAGAGTCTTGCTGCACATAACACCGACACACGTCAGACATTCATAGTTGAACTATGTATGTCTGAAGAAGTCTGACCTTGGTCTGACTGGAGCAGTTTGCCCATGTCAATGTAGATGAAGAAGCAGCATTTGTAACCAATATTATTCATGTTTGTTACATCCTCATCTTAATATGTAACCATTATTTCACTTTGTATATATCAATTCATTCGAATACTCTAAATATGGATAATAAATGACTGCGTGGTACAGAAACAAGTAGGATTTTTGTCATTCTTAAATGAAAAATGTAGCATTTTTAGTCTCCTAATTTGCATTTTCCATATATGCAGATAGACGATGAAAGAACTGGAGCGGTTGTTTTACACTTCGATGGAATCAGAGACGATGATTTGCCCCCGACAAGGTAAGGAATGTAACACCATAATTACATCACTGTGTGTAATCATGAAAAATCATGTTATTGGGTTTTATTTCGGCCATATTCAGGACTGATGGATACAATAAGTTGCAGAATGACGTATCAAGTCCATAGGCACATTTTTCACAGCGCGCAAATATGCCGTCACGTGATTACGCATTAGAAATAAATTTATAGCCGGTCACAACTAAAAAATTGAACCCATGGGAGATTATTTAGTCTTAAGGACATAACAATATCTTTTCCAAACTCGAAAGTTTTTTATACTCGAAAGTTGAAAACTGATACAAATGACTTATCGCACCTTTTATAAGCGTGGCGATATGTTATATATACATCCTCTCTTAACACACAGTGTTATTTTTACCAACTTCATTTCAGAAACCTTAGTCAACTTTACATATACTGGGTCCTGGAATCGACTGCAACCCTTCGCGTCACCGGAGAAGATTCTTTAGAGTTCGAGGACAATTTCCATTTCAATGCAACTATGACATACAGGTTAGAGTTATTGGACACGAAATTAACTTATAGATCGTCTTTCTCAACAACTAAATGACTTTATAGTTTCACTATACAAGGTTTTATATGTCCTGTGCACACTTTCATATGACATTCAATATGTTTTTTTTAACATTCGTCTGGAATATTTATTGACATCGGAGTGAACATATTAAATATTTGACCTTCCAACTCAACAACAAATGTCACCTCAACAAAAACAATTTTACAGCAACGATCCATATGTATACCTCGTGTCCAATAAAAATTACAAATACATACGTGGAAGTTTGTTTAACAATATTATAAGTTCAAAGCACCACTTGTTATAGGTTTTATATCTTTATTTCCCTTGTTGGGTTAACAAGAATGTTAGTACGCGACAGGCACCAGCAAGATGCCCAAGTAGTTGTGCACGTCTACTGGACTTGTGCATATTTCTCGCAGAGAAGGTAATTTGAGCGTCGGGTTACATTCAATTTGTTCATTGTTTAGCTAAGACTCCGTGTTAACCGAATTAATGATAAAAGGCAGTTCCCAAACTTCGTCCACTAATTTTCGTAAAATGAAAAACCGCATTTATTCGCGACTCAACAATAACAAACATCAACATAATATTGATCAAGCTTTTCAGTTAAATGCTGAAGAGTCAAGATGCGTAATGATGGTATCTTGCATATTGACGTTGCTTTCTGAACTATATGCCTTGAGCTGGGGAATGTCATCACGTAACTTTTCCATAGATGGTTATTTGTAGTAATCTGTAATATTTGCGCTGTGATCGATGACAGTGGTGAATTAAGCACCTTGCATGCGATTGATTATGCGAATTCAGCAACTTTTCTTGACTGATTTTTTTCGGCTAAAGAAGTATGTTTCTGCTTGGTTAATGCGTGATAATCTTTTGTTGCAGTTCAACGACTCGGATAAAAACTTGACCTCGTGATAGAAAGTTGATTAGGAGGTCATGCTTTGAAGTAGTTCACGCATTTTTAACAGTTTCTCGTGTTGCAACTCATCTGGCATTTTTTGTCGATAATGCTCGCAATGCAAAGACAATGCGTCTATTTTATCTCTAGCACATTATCTTCAATAGGTTCCAAAATTTAGATTTGATATCAGTAATTCAACGCTGACTCATAGGTACATATCCCCGCTAAATGTCCATATTCCTAGGATTGAATGTTTGACAAAGAATGTGTCGAGTCATTCGAAGTAGTCATGTTTTTTGGTTAAAAAGCTCCAAATCGGCACAAATTTTACCTGTCAGCATTCAAATCCTTAGGCCTTGTGTGAGCCGTATTTCATGTTCAGCAGAAGTTTGTGAACCACTTATACGGAGCATAAAATCGTGATTTGACAGTTTATGTATCTTGTTCACTACTGTTGTCACTCCTAAGTCGTAACTGAACATAAGTTTCTTAGTATTTGAAATGTCTTCCTGGAATGAGAAATAATAAAAAAAAACTCTGCTATAGGAATTTGCATTGTCCAACCCATTACTCATTAATAACCCGCAATCAACAGTAAATATATCTACAATGTGCAGTACAGAGGAAACTATTGTGTACATAATTACCTAAGTATCACTTTAATAGTATGTACATTCTTCTGCGAACTTGAGGGTAATACTTTTCGATCGCTCTGATTAATTTATTAAAATGAGGTCCGCTACAACGTGTCATGGTCTAGTTTGAAACCCAGAGAAATAACTCTACCTACAAGATCGCATTATCACGATGAACCATACAAACACTCACTCATTATAGAATAGGAAATTCAATTCCGTTAAGCTTGAAAACTTTTTATTGTTTCACAGAAGGGACTCCGATTTCTATCAAAGTTATGAACACAAATATGGTGTGACAAGAATTATGGAAGAAAATACGCTAACACTAGAGGAACTGCTTGCAATGAAAACTAAACTTTCAGTCGCAATCGTCTCAAACTGTGGCTCTACTGCTGGAGCGCGTACTCGAATGAGATTGTTGAAGACTATAATACGATTAGGATTTAAACTGGATGGATTCGGTGCATGCTTTCGGGGAAGTGGCAAGTTTGCAAATGGTAAAAGCCGAAGCGAACCTGAATTCTTTGCGGAAGTCAGAAAATACAAATTTTACTTTTCTTTTGAGAATTCCTATCACTGTAAAGACTACATTACTGAGAAGTTTTTCAACAACGCTCTCAGATCCTTTACTGTTCCTGTTGTCTGGGGTGCGACGAGAGAGGATTATGAAGCAGTCGCACCACCTGGATCATTTATATTTGTTGAAGACTTTGATTCTATGAAGGCTTTAGTGGATTATCTTAAATATTTAGACAAAAACGACACGGCATATTTAGGATACCTCAAGTGAGTAGACCATACTTGACACTGTTAACACATTTAATTCGCGCATTTTTACCGACAAACTAAATCTTCAAAAAACTCGACTTCTCTCAATTTAATCCCTGCATTTCATTAATTGCATTTTAGTTTGTCTCGCCCTCATTTACATTAGTTTGTCTCGATTTTTCATTCATATTGTTAATCCAGTGTTAATTTTTTGTGGGAAATAAATGACTGGTATATTCTGCACCTATATACAACAATTGTACGTTTGCAGGTGGGTGACAATAAAGCCAAGAGACATGCCTCACTACGGAAGAGCAAGGGATTGGTGTTCAATATGCAGAGCGTTACATGGAATCAACATTGACGACATTTACAGTCCAAAATACAACACGGGTAATCCAATTAGGCCATTATTTACAGACGGCGTCGCAACGAGGACTGTCGAGCATTTGAAAGACTGGTATTATGGGGAAGATAATCCCGAGTGTTTTTCAAAGTATTGACGATCAAAGAATCAGCGGAATTCGGCCTTATATACTTCAGGATAAGCGTACATCTTTGATTAGACACTGCCCTTTTATATTCTATGCAACATGCATCATTACCTGTTTATTTTTGCCTCTATTGAATTCCTTTCATCTCGGACAAAATATTGAGCAAAAACCTTACCTATCTTTTATTGACATACAACAGTATTTGCAATACTTAATTAAACGCGACTGCAGCTTTGTTAAGATTAATTAAGCGTATTTAACAATTAACTTTGGTTTCCCACGGTAGCCATTTTTCAGTTTTATTAAAAATAAGATCAGTTTTGTCAGATTGCGATTCCATTGCCTTCTGTCATTAGATGTACTAGAAGTTACGTTTTTCATGCTAAGAGAACGATTATTTTTTCCTGATTGATCACCGCGTAGTACAGGGGTGGGCAACCTTTTTCGGCTCGCGTGCTAAAATCGGCTGAATTTTCCGACAAAATTCTTCCGCGTGCCGACCAAAATTAAAAACAATGGTATGCTACTTTCGAAGCAAAAATACACAATAATAAACCTTTTAAACATGTACATACAGATTCACTATTCCGGAAAATATCAGTTCGACAAAGAGGCTTGGTTACTTTTCTTATTCTATATCAGTGAGACTTTTGCTGCTGCATTACCGCCATTAGAGATTTTACATTGGATTTATATTTTGTAACTTTCAACGAAATACACGAACGATTGGTTCCATCTTTTAGGTTACTCCTATTACGAGACTTAATATAGTTCATTACTGAGAACAGAGATTCACAAGCATATGTCGATGAAAACATGGAGAGTTTTAAAGACACGAAACATTTTCGGGAATGACGTACCAATCACGCAATAGTTCACTTGTAATCGCTTATATTTCTTTCGAAATCAATTTATAACAGTAAGTTAGCAAGTAACTGTGACCAACATGAGCTGCACAACTTCATGAATCAAGCAGAAATGACGAAAAGGGTGACACAGACGAACTATATTACGTAAGAATGTAGCCAAATGAATGCTGCGCTCTCCTCGACAAAATATCGCAAAGCTCACTCATTTGTTACGTCATAATATATTTCTTTGTAGCCATATTACATGGAAGGACCAAAAAAATATCGGGTTGTTAACAAACGATAATGTCTAACAAACACCTAGTTTCATCAGATAATTCAGAGTCTTGAAACTTTTTATCTGAAGGAGAATGATCTCGTTTCCGAGACCACGCTCGCGTGCCGGATTTGGCACGCTTGCGAGGGGTTGCCCACCCCTAGCGTAGTACATGCACACACCTCACTGAATTTGGTAATATTATTTTATTGCTTGTATGTATGCTCATGTTCTAATTGCAATTTGTGTTTTTGTACCGATAGCATCCTGCACATTTTCTGTGATAATCTGCACTTTCAATGATTTGCCGTACGTCTGGATTTTTGAAGGCACGGGAATTTTCTTCGCAGAGTCTGGTGCGCGTCTGGGTATGGCTAAGTTCTAACATCTAAATTGTAATTAAGGCGAAGACGACTTTGACGAATGTGAACATAGTAGATAGACAGCTGCTTCTTGTTAACATAAGGATGCTTCTGTTTGGTGCAGGTGCAAAAGCTTTGCATTCTTTTGTTTTGAGTTTCAATCATTCTTGGCTATGCTAACAATCGGCAACTGAGTGATACTTCATCATATAGGTAAATAAGTGAGTAACTGACCAGATGTTAGTTTATTTTCTTGGAGTGTATCACCGAATAAACGTTCTCCTTCGTAACTTTCATAGAAATCCGAATCACTCCTGCAACAAGATTTCATAATTTTCAATTTCTAAATTAAAATCTTCGCTGTAAAACGTTCTATTGGGTGCTTGAAAGAGTATTATTGAAGAAAACCCTTCACTTCAAAATGTACGGTCATAGATTCAACTTCCACTCAGGCTGGCTACCAGCTTACATTAGTCACACGGAAATAATTTGAACGTTGGTGACTGATTACACACTAGCTGTTGTACAACATTTTTAGTAACATCGACAATTGTTATATTAAAAGACAAAATAACGTGTTGAATAAATATTTGCTTTCAATTTTACCTGTATGTCTTATGTGAAAGTTGCATAATTTGATTCCTACTGCACAAAAATTTTACGTTTATCTTTTTTCACACTGGATCAAACAACATCAAAAACGGCAGTTCTAATCATTTTGTAGATATTTGAAATCATGTTATAACTTTTGTAGCGCGCATTTTGTAAATTTAATGATGTATATGAACTTGAAATTCCTTCCAGGTAGAGGAATGAATAAATAAATACATTTCCGAGTTTAGCAAATTAATGTTGTAATAAAAGCGACACACCGATCCGGATTGCATATGACATTACTCAGATTGGGGCAGCGCAAGATCAAATTTTATATTTACTTTTGAGAAATCGTTTATTTGGCGCCATCGAATGGTAATACATAAAAAAGTACTGAAAATTTACATTTTCTTCTTCTACTTCTACATTACAACTGTACGGTGACCGTTCATTTGAACCCACGTACATTTGTACCCATACATTTGCGCCCCTATATACGCGGGTTCAATCTATATGACGGTGATAAAAATCCATGGGTTAAGAATAGAATGGGTTCAAATATCCGCAAAAGAAAAAATTTCCATAGGTGCAATAGTATGCAAGTGCAATTGTCGTGGGTTCAAATTACGATTTCAAATTACGTGGGTTCAAATGTAATGGAACCCAACTGTACAAACGTTAAAACTATCTGCGGGTTGTAAATCTTTTAAGGAACATGTGTTTTTAGCGAGTTTACAAATAAACCTGCAATGCCTAATCCTGATCCCGTTCCAATTCATAAATATCAAGTTAGCCATATATTGCCCTGCATTCCGGGATAAACAATCGGGACCATTGACTGTTGGTTCTGGTTTCTGTACAGACTGCCCAGTGATTTTGAGACAGAAAAAGCAACTCGGTCGTAACTTTGAACTGTGGAATTGAAAGAAACATGATGACTACTCGTGTTTTTATTTGAACTTTTTGTCACTAATATGGTTCAGTATAATGAAATATTGTTAGTTAGTCGTGGTTGGTAGACAATGATGCCAACAGTCGAAGCGATTTATTAGATTAAATGTGTTAACGTTTAGTGACAATAAAACGTCAATGGATGTCATCTCAACAAAACATAGGTTTAACTGCCTCGTTGTGATGAGCCTCAGTAAGTTTTGAGCCAAGCAGTAGTAGTTGTTAATATATGAAAATATTATTCTTAAACTTTGTACGGAAAAATACTAGAATAAAGTCTATTTTTTAAATTCAAAAATTCTGTTTCAAATTTAGGAGTTAAGTATGAATAGAATATTTAAAAACAAACTCAATACTAACTACAGCAGAGGAATCTACGGCCCGGAGTAAAATAATCCGGCCTGCAACGCTTCACTGAATTATAGTAACAAAACATCTGTTTTGACGATTATATTCTTTACGTAACAGAATTTATTGTGAGACACGTGTAGACTAAATTATATTATAATCTAACAAGTATAAAATTCACAATTACTCGTTTAATGAGCCAAAAATGTGATTATAATTAGACAAATGGTAACAAAATGCACAAAAGTTGATGCTAAGTGCAAAGGGTTCAATGGCGCCGAAAATATTCAAATGGAATACTTTGAGATTCAATGCAATGAGCAAATAAATCTATTTTCTATTCAATAGATGTATCACAAGGTTGCCGACCCTTGAACTACAGCATTTACAGTCTCGACACGTAAATATGTATTGAATGTTTGTTTTGGCACAGATTTCTAATTACATTTGGAGTCAAATACAACCATGTTCTCATTACTGCTTTTGTCGGTAATACTGACAAGTACCTTTTTACAGTCAACGTGCCATCGAATGTGTTTGAATTACGAGTCTCCGACGTTGTGAGTGGATTTTTTGTTTAAATTGCACTATTGGGATAGATATGTTTCAATAGTTTTTTGTCGACATCGACGTCAACTACTTTTTGTCAAAGTTCGAACAAATCGATTCTCATTGAAATCAATGCAAAAAATATCATGCGTTTGCCAAACATATAGACTGTTCTCGTAAGATTTCATTACAACAATATGTAAGTATTCGAAATAGTTTTTATACTGTGAAGCGTTGAATCAGACACCCAAAAATGATACAGAATCCGCACAATATTCATGAGCTTATAATCAAGAACCATTCTTTCATAAAACAAAGTCCTGACTTTTTGCTTCTACTCGATTTATCGCTTAATGCCTCATAAGGAAAATAATATTTTGAATAATTAATACAGTATATCAAAAGCATAATTAATAAAACGTTTTTTATTTTTTAAAGTATGGATGAAACGTTTGACCTGTGTCGAGATTTTCAAAAGTTTGGTTGCTGTACGAAACAAAAAGATAAGGAGTTGCATAAAAAATTTACTGTCCTCGTGGACTTTCTCCCACAAGAAAATAAAACAGAGTGTTTCGATGTAGTCAGGAATCTTATGTGTCAGGTATATATAAATGAAACAATTTCTATTCAGTTAGGTTTTATGGTGATGCTAATGTTTGTTTACATCACTGGCCAGATATAACATGCTGCGCAATAAGTTCAAACGGTTGCTGCCAAAGTGTAAGATACTTAAAATACCTAGAAAAAAAAGTAAATACGATAATTTGATGAGAGACTGAAATATTCAATTTGTCGTTCAAACCACTAAAAAATTATTTGCCGAATGGAATGAATATTGTCAATGGAATATGATATAATTAATAATTATATTTCCACACTCGATATCATTAATAGTTAGATTCGAAAATGTATATACACTTACATTTAGTGGCATATTTCGAATCCATTTCAGGAATGTTCCGAATACTCAGCTCACCAATATGATTTGGAAAATAGTGGTACAATAACCAGTTTACCTGGTTTATGCTGGGAGAATTGTCAAAATATATTTGAACAATGTCGAGATGCGCTACAACTTTTGACTAGCGATGAAAATCTTCTTGAACATTTGAGAATGGGCGATAACCATAGGTTCTGCCAAGATGTTGCATTGGAAGATAGATATTATTGTTATCCATGGAAAGACGAATATGCAGAGGAATACTTGGATTTCTACGAATTACCAAATAAAAGTACAATCTTTCAGTTTTGTTTTCAAACTCATTTAGATTATTCCCTGCGCCGAGATATTACTAACAAATAAATATATATATCAAACAATTAAACAAATTGGTTGCTCATCATAAATATCGCTCACTCACTGAACACTGTAAAGTCTTTGGTAGTATCGTCTTTGCTATCTTGGTTGTCTTTGCCTGATCTTGGTTGTGGAGTATTTAGCCTCTTTCATAATGCAAAGATACGAAGTATACCTTTTTTTCCTGACGGTTGATAATTTGAATAATGCTCTCCCGATATATTTACTCACAGATAAACAATCAAAATGCCCACTGGTTGTGGCCCAGAGGATTGCAATTCAATCAAACATTCCAACTGGAATTTTCCTAAAACATGAGCTTTTCAAAATTCCATAATGTGCTGATAATAAATTGACTGAAACAAAAAAATGAAAACTTTTGTTAATGGTATGAACTAAAAAAATGTTAGGTCGTTTCTAAAAATATGAAAATAACTATAATTCGTGATCAAGTTTCAAATTTTTTATTCAAGGAAGATTTTCACAAAATAAGTTTTAGACTCTAATTGTACATGTGCGTATACATGTAAGAAAACCAGTCTAATGCACGTATTTTTTTAAATAATTTCAGAACCCTGTACTCAACTTTGCGTAGAGGAAGTGGCCAACAAACTATACAGCCCTATATCTATAAAACATGGCAAAGATAACACACACAGGTGAAGTTTTTATGCCTGCAATCTATTTTTACCTCAGGTGTTTTCGATGTACTGATGTCTAAATTCAACTCATTCAGCGTGATTTGACTCTCTAATTGACAGATCACAAACTCATATTTTACAGTACATATTACCACAGGTATTTATACCATTTTCTTCTCGCTTTTCATTTTTTTGTGTTTTGAAATGCTGTTTGTTTGACAGGTGAGGTCTTTCACTGAAAAAGCATCACTAGCACAAGTTTTTTTTATAGACTTTTCATCGCTGAACAAATGGGTGTGGTATGGGTGTACCTGACTAACATGAGTAGAATCTTTCCACCATTCCTTAACAAGACATCTGATGTTGCATGTAATATTGAGTGAGTGAACGATCCAACTTGGTAACTATGGTATCGAACTTAAATGATGGCATTATTAGGTGAAATCGACTGGAAACGCGACATTTGAATCAATGAATTTTGAATATTTTTTTAGACATTTGGTGCGTTTCTCAATTATACAATAACATTTTAACAGTTAGGTAAACAAAGATCAATTAAGTTAATATTCCGTGATTCATTGTGAAACCATGCTCTTATTTTTAGTGGATACGATGAACGTGGATTTCTCGACATTGAATTCCATCCGAAACATGCCAGCAATGGCTTGTTTTATATATATTATACCACTTTGATAAATTCCAAAAACTTCATTAGGATAAGTGAAATGAAGGTTGGTTTCTTCATCTTTTTGTTACAATGTGGCTATCTGTCGTATAATATACGCAGTCTTCTTAACCTTTGTAAATAAATAAAAGTACTCACGCGCATGCAACAAAATATTGGAATGAATGTAACAGAAATGTATTGCGGTGAAGGTTAAAGCGAACTTTAATGGATAGAACTATCCTTAATAGAATAGAAATGACATCAAATATAAAAGCGAACCGAGTAACCCAAAAAAGTGCTGACAACTGCCTATCGCGTTGTACATTTCCATATTTAACGTTCTATATCGCTGAATACGCAACAAAAGCTTCATATATTACAGTAACTGCTGTCAAAAAAAGGCCTATGGAACTATGTTATTGTTGTGTGTCGCGCAAATGCGGCAGAGATTTAGTGGCGTTATCGGTGGGATATTTGCACTCGCAGAAATTTGCATCCATAAGGACCCGGACCAACTTTTATATATCTCATACCTTTCTGTGGGCTCCATGGGATTCTTTTTTTGTGTGCGATTATCAGAATTAAAAATTGCGCACCTTGTGGCGGTTCGGCGTTCGCGATCTAGTGGTCAGCCAGGTTCCATTACATTTGAACCCACGTACATTTGAACCCATAAATCGAACCCACGACAATTGCACCTGCATACTATAGTACTAACCTTAACCCATGGATTTTAGTACCCTCA